ACCCCAAATTTCCTAATAAGAACCATCCTCCACCCCCTTCATCTCCCTTCATTCACGTGTGTTTCGTGCCTTTATTCGCTTAAAAGAAAATGACGAACAATGTCAGTGATTAGCAAGAGTACGAGTGATTGGGCTTGGAAATCTCAGTTAGCCCATATCCTCCCGCCTCACGCCGCCGGGATTACGGCGCCTTCAGTGGCGCGTTCCGCACGCCACGCCCCGCCGGCCCGGCCTGGGAGCGCGTGCCCCAAAAAGTGAAGTGAGTGTCCGGAGTCGGGGGGTCCCTACACACGGCTGAGAAACTCCGCCCACATTGCACCACAGGCAATTAATTGCCGGGGAATCTTTTTAACGGCTCCCGCCCGTGTCCCAATGCCTTTAATTGTATTCTGATAAAGGACCCTGCTGCAGCTCGTCACACCCGCCTCTTTCCATAGTTTAGCCCGGCCCGGACTCTGGCTGCGCATGGAGGAGAAGAGTGACTCAGTCTAGAGTTCGATGATGGCGAGGGCAAAAAAGCGGATGCCGTGACAACTATGAGCTTGCTACAAAGCGCGACACACACAAAGTATTATTACTTTTCGCAGTATCGCCAGTCAGTGGCATCATCGACTCTCGTGCTCGCACTTCTTGTCACGCCGTGCCGCCGTCTGTCCGGTGCGTCCGTCAGCTTCGCGCCTCTGATTCCCTGCTGCCAATCTGCATGTTCTCACTTCTGTCCGAGATGCGCTCGTTTCAAACTTGGCGCGGAATCAAGGCAGTGGAGCAGCGTCGGCGTCCGGCCCGGTCCCCGGCCACACAGAAGGGCGTTTACGGAGAGCGGGGCGGGGCGGGGCGGAGCGGGGCGGAGCTAGTGTCGCTCATTGGAGCGGCTGCCCCCCGCCGCTCCCCTCCAGTCGAGGTCCGCGGTGTATCAAGTGGCGTTTCCTTGATTAATACCCCACCGCACTCCTGTTGCCATCTGCGGCCGATGGCAGCAGAACCACGAGGTGTGAACAAGTAAAGAGCAGGGCTGACGATAATGAAGGTAGGCAAACGACGCATCGGAGGCCAAACCCAAAAGGAAGTCTTTCAGAAAAATAAGAAGAAAGCGCCTGCCAGAGGTGGGGTGGGCAGACCCGTCACGCACGTGAGCGTTTCGGTAGCCTACCCCCCAGCGCCTGCGAGAGGTGAGATAGGCAGACCCGTCACGCACGTAAGCGCTCCGGTGGCCTACCCCCAGCGCCTGCCAGAGGGGAGGTGGGCAGACCCGTCACGCACGGGACCTCTCTGGTGGCCTACCCTCAGCGCCTGCCACAGGTGAGATAGGCAGACCCGTCACGCAGGGAAGCGCTCCAGTGGGCCTATCCAGGTGCCGTTCGCTGTGCGTGACTGACCGCTTCGCCCAAAGCAACCAGCACAGAAGAAGCCGCTCACACAGCGGTGCATCCTCTCGCCGGCAGGAGCGAACTCTGGTGTCGGGAGCCCGGCCGAGAATTCACATGTACATACAGAGGCAAAATGCCGAATAGATGCCCGAACGCGGCTCGGATTGGTACCCTTTTAAGCGGCTTGCCTGGCCCTGGGACTCTAGTTCGGCCGCGCCGCCTCCCTGGTGCAGACGGGAGGGAAAGAGATGGCTGGGAGAGGGTAGACGGACGAACCGAGCCGCCGATAGAGCCATCGCGAGTGAGTGAGACGGACTCGCGCCAAAGGAGCCGTGAGCTGCCAGTGAAGCTCGTGGGCTGTCGTGTAGGCCAACCATAAAGCATCCATAACCGCAGGCACGAGCGGCCAGTGGCGCGCCGTCGAGGGGAGGGGGGAAGGGCACAGGGAGTCTCTACAGTAGCGAGTGCGCAGCGAGCTGTCCCGGGGGGCGTCCGGGGGTTGTGGGGGCCGCTCGGGCGGCTCCGGGTCGGCCGCGCTCCAGGAACCGTCGCCGCGAGCAAACGCAACGACTCGCGTCCGGGACAGCGCGGCGCCGGCCGGGCTCCTGCCTGACGGTCACTGTCGGTCGCTCGACGCGGACAGCGAGAGCTCGACGTCGACTGCTTGGCTTCCAGTGTGGTGAGGAGGCCAAGATTGCGGAGCTGACGGGTGCAGGAGAGAGAGAGAGAGGATGAATATGTGCTTACGGGCAAAATTCACAAACTTGCCAGAAAATTGCTCTTAATCTATTTCTTATTAAAAGTTTGGGCCATTGTTAGAAAGACAAAAAAGTCTACAACTAGTTAAAAATGCAGTTTAGTCACGCATGAACGGCGTTCAGATACAGATGAAATTTACGTCCTGATATTGCATACATTTCTAAACTATTGGTTCTTCCAATACCCGGGCTGTTCGTCTCCAGAGAGCTGGCCACCACCCTCACTAAGGGCTCGTCGGGCAGCTATGTGTGTCCAGTGCCGCCACATACCGCCCTCACTGGAACGGGTCCAGGACCAGCGCGATTGAGCGTCGCCCCGCCCAGCCGATTGACAGCGAGCGCCACGCCACGCCACGCCATGACGACTGCACGGCAGTGCTCGGCGTACTCTCAACCATGACGTCCGCGGGAGGGGGTAGGCCACTGCTGGCGGCTCCCGCACGCGGTCTTACAGTTAGCATATAATATGATATTCGCACTGCCCCCC